AACCAAGTCAATGTTTTGTTCTGTTTTTAACTCCACTCCACTCTAAGGTTTGTGGGCAAAGCCCAAAAGGATGAGTGCTCACAAGGCATCTTGTTAACCCGACTTAGATATACCCACTCTTTCCCAATGAATAGTCTAAATATTCCAACAAACTAATCTGAGAAGTGTCAGAGTTTTGCAAATAGTTATCTCATGAATAAGTTGTTTGTCTCTCTACTCTAAGCTGGAAACAGGATGAGGTGGACCATCCTGTTCTTGGAGAAACCGGTTTCGGCTAGTTCAGAGAGACCCCTGTACTCCTTATCTTTAAGTTTCTGTTTTATGACCGACCCCCAGCCCACTTTGAATGAAACCAGGCTGCTGCAGGGGGACAAGCTGGAGTTGTCCTGAGGCACCACTGAGACTCTCCCCCTTTGCAAAGGCTGAAGTGATACTACTCCCTGTGTGGTTCTTTATATGTACAGGTTAAAATACGTAAACAAGAAGCTCCTATGAAATCTACAATTAAATAAGATTTGAAAACATCTCTAAAAAAATATGTTGTTCATTATTCTAGGATATAGCAAATAGAACATATGTTGGTAATCCTGCCTGATCTAAAACCGATAAAGTTTGGTCTGATTTAATGTCAGACACAACTATTGGTTAGGGGCCTTTTTATACGGTCTGAGGTGTTTATTTTTCATTGAGGTGCAGGTTATGTTATAATTTCTGTGCTTTACAAAATGAATGTGGGATCAGCAAATGATACAACAGTGAACACAAAGTACAGAACTGCCATTTTTGCACCAAATAAGTCAGTTAAAAATGATTTAGCTGAGTTAATTTTTAAGAAAGTTCCACACAAATTATCTGTGAAGGAATAAATGAGAAAACTTCCTTTTGCTTCTATAGTTTTCCAGCTTGTTTGATGGTAAATTACATTTTTGTTTTGTTTTCTGTCTAACTCTATTGTTTTTGCCACTACACCAGCATTCAGTGAAAGTAATTTAGGTATGTTTCCTCAGAATTTTCTTTGCATGTTCAAAGTTGAGTTTGTCTTTATTTTCAGGGACTGTGTCCATGAACTCCTGGGCCACGTCCCCATGTTGGCTGATCGCACTTTTGCCCAGTTTTCACAGGTTAGAGTCCAATGACTTTCAGATTATTTTCTGCAGTGTGGAGCTTTGATGTTTCATGACGTTTTTTTTTTTTTTTTTTTTTTTTTTTGTTTTTTTTTTCAGAACCTTGGTCTGGCATCACTAGGGGCATCAGATGAAGACATAGAGAAACTATCTACAGTAAGAGTCTTGTTCTGACTGCAATGAAATCACTGAAAAGACTGTGTTTAAGCTATAACGTTACAATAAGTGACACATGTGCAGTTAATTTTGTTAATGTTGACACTATTCTTTGTTGTTTCTCTCACCAGCTGTACTGGTTTACAGTCGAATATGGTCTCTGTAAGCAAAACGGTGAGGTTAAAGCTTATGGGGCTGGGCTGCTTTCTTCCTATGGAGAGCTTGTGGTACGTTGCAGCATATTTGTCTTTCTTTAAAAACAAGAAAACACAGCCGAGTGAGCTCCCATCTAACTCCTTCCCCGTCACCTCCTTTCAGCATTCTCTCTCTGATGAACCCGAGGTGCGGGAGTTTGATCCAGAGGCTGCAGCGTTGCAGCCCTATCAAGACCAGACCTACCAGCCAGTCTACTTTGTTTCAGAGAGCTTTCCAGATGCCAAGGAGAAGTTCAGGTACTTAGTTCTTTATTGAGTTATACAGATATATAGGATCATATGAAAGGAGAAGAAAGAAACGGAGAAGAAAAAGAACAAGAGGTTTTGTGAGGACAAGGTCAGAGAACAGCCAGCCAAGCCCGAGGCCACAAACTGTTGTAGGTCAGCCATAGCAGCCAGAAGACAGCTGTTACTAATATAGCCTTTCTTACCAAGGCAAAACTCTGCAGTTTTATTTGGCAAACAGATAATGTTGCTCTGCAAAACAAGTAGCTTCAGTGAGTGTTTTGACAGTCTTTAGTCTCCAATGGGATACAGCAAATGACATAAGAACAAGGTGACGAGATGAGAAGATAGCCAGCATGGAGATGTTTGGAAAAACAAAGCAAATAGGACAAAGGATGTTGTTTTTTTTTATCTACTTTGTAGAGCAATGTTTTCTTATTCTTTTATAAAGTGCTTTCATGCATTGATATCTCACTTGATCCTCTCACAATTTTTTCTTTTACCAGAACATACGTAGCAGGCATCAAGCGTCCGTTCTCGGTGAGGTACGATCCGTACACATGCAGCGTCGAGGTCCTGGACAATCCTCTGAAGATCCAAGGCGGTCTGAAAGGCGTGAAAGATGAGATCAAGGTGCTGACCGATGCCCTCGCCGTTTTGTCATGACGACCTCTGCCGGTTGTTTGCTTTCTCTACGCTGAGCTCTGCAGTGTCCAAAGTGTGACGAGACTAACGTGCGTATCTTTATGTGCTGTAAATCCAGTACGATGTTGAGTTGTTGCAGTTTGTGTGTGTGTGTGTGTGTGTGTGTGTGTGTGTGTGTGTGTAGGGAAAGGGCCACCGATGTCGACCACTTCCCCCAGTGTGAATGCATTTGTGGAATAATGTACTGTGGTTCTACTTGACTGGACAAAATTCACGCTTTAATATGTAAAAGTGTTCACATGTACCAACACCGGAGCCACAATCAAAGAGAGTTGTATTTCTGAATGTATTCAAAGAAAATGAAATAAATAATATAAATTATTTTAAAATCAAAGAAATGTAGCAGTTTAGTGGAGATTATATTCCAAAGTGTACATTTTAGTCCTTTGTTTTAACAAAAATATATATATTTAAATATATTGTAAGTGCTTCTTAAATGATTTATTTTTCTGCATTGAATAGGGGTTTTCACATTAATTTGTCATTATCTGTGCTGTATTTGCCTCATTTGGTTTTACATGCATGATGAAAAAAGTTAAAAAATGAGAAAAAAGATACATCCAATAACAATTGCAAATAAACATTGTTAAATAACTGTTGTTTACTTGGGTTTTGCACTGTGTCAATTGTCAAAAAAATAAATAAATAAAAATAAATAAAATAAGACTTTCTCACCTATATGCCACAAGAGGGAGCACTCCTACAAGTTGAAAATGTCTGTAAAGTTTAAAGGTTTTACTATGAAACAAAATTCTTGTTCATCATCTGGGCAAAACCTACAATGTTCTGTTTTTTTTCCAAAACTAATAATTCATATTATGGTTTTCTTTTCTATACTGAATTATATGTCTGCACATACACCATAAAACAAACTGTTAGAATTTAACTGCTCTTGCATCAGGTTTTAATCAATATTCAAGTGTTCTAGATAAGTGTAATGGCTGAAGACAAATTAATTAGTTAATTATTTTTCTAAGTACTCAGTTAATTACATTGTAAACACTTAAGCACGCTCCATACACACTTAATACAGAAACTTTTAAAGGTCTTCAAATTAGCTTATTAAACAAATATATGATACAGGTATGGCTCAATAAATTAGATTACATGAACAAGTTGAAAAACAGAAAATTCATTTATCAAATTTTAAGGATGGTTAAGCCAAAAAATGCTCATCCTAAAGAGGTTGACTGGTCACAGACTGGCATATTCAAACAATTAAATGGAAAACTGAGTGGCAGAAAAAAAGTGAGGTGAAGTGTTGTATATATATTTTTTGAGGACCTGAACTAAAGGCTTTCTTCATCTGTAAGCCTTAATCATCATCAAAATGACCAGAAATAAATAGTTGTAACATATCTCTCTGTCTGAAATGAATCTTTTGTACAATTCATGATCACATCAGCCTCACAATTTTATGTTGGACATTATCAAATGAGAGCAGTCGGCTCGAGAAACATCTTCCACATTTCTAAACAACTGTTGTAAGTTGCGAAAACATCAATTAAGTATCAAGTAATTTAGTGACACTAGACATTATGCTAAGAATATAAAAAAAATCAATACATTTGTTGTCAAAAATGGCGCTTTCTTGTCGGCAGCTCTTTGGGTCGGCACTCTGTGGAGAGTTTTGTCCGGACACATCACCGACTGCCCGGTCGAGAACGAGGCTGCAAATCAGATCCCGGATCAGCAGATCAGCAGCATTTGCTGCTGATTTCAAGCTGCGAGACAAACAAAGGGAGCTTCGCGATCTGGACCAGTAGGTGTCAGTCTGACTTTGGAGATTTCTACTTTTTTTTTTTTTCTTTTTTTTTGAAGAAGAAACTTGCATAGTGGACACCCCCCTTGTATATTCTCATTTAGAAAATAATGTGATCTCCCTTGTTATCTATAAAGTTTGAGATATTTTCTTTACACTAAAGCTGCTCCTCTTGATGAGTTAAAATCCTGGAATCTTATTTAAAGAAAACTTGACTTGTTTGCTCTTTTTGATGCCATATATCCGGATTCTGTTTATTATTATTATTACTATTTGACTCCCTGATGGCTCCAATTGATGGCTATTTTAGAGTCACTGCTGCATCCTGCTTCTGTGCATCAGCACCAGGTCGGTAAACCACAGTCCAATCTTCCACTTTCCACCGTCAGACCACCTTTGACTCCCCCCCCCCCCTTTTTATTTTTATTTGCACACCTGAGTCAGAGGACAGCCCGCAGACTCTGTGCACAATGATTCCACTCAATCTTAATCTTAATTACAGCAGGGCGGAGACATTGACATTTTTCTTGGAGTCGCAGGAATTACGAACTATTCTCGTTCAGTCTGCGCCCTGTGTAAACAGTGTGATTGTAGGTTACAGAGCGTAAACGCAGAAAATGCCAGTGGAAGAGTTCCAAATTTGGCGACTCTCGCTCTCTCCCTCTTGTTCTTCCCCCTTTTGCCCGTTTTTTTTTTTTTTTTTTTTTCCTGTAAGCACTTTTCCAACATCTCTGGGCCATTTTCTTTTTTTTTATCAAGAGGAGGAGCGAGGACGAGGATGGGTGTAAGGGGCGTGTTTTAGTATATAATAGTTCTCCCGGAGAAGTTTTGCCTGTCGCCTGGTCTTTGGGACAGCCTCTCACACATCATCTCTATTATAGCCAAACCAACTGGGAAACTAAGTCACCTGCAATATCGCCTACCAAAATAACTCCCCGCGACTTTGACTACCCTGATGCCATCTGACATGGAAACCCAGCAAAGATCCGGACACCACTCACTTTGTCACACCTGCCGGAGAACGGAGAGCTGCAGGATGAAGGTAACTGGAGCACAAATAGTTTTCAGATACCCTCCCCCCCCCCCAGTTTGAGCCGTGAGAGGGCTCAGGCTGTGGGAAGAGTGGATATTTGTTGCGGATGGTGGGGTAGTTAGGGGAGGCACATAGATGCTTGATGGCATCAGTTTTCTGCATTTTGATCAAGCGGGATTTCTTGATTTGCATGCAGCAAGCGAAAGTTCAGGATGCACAAACTACAAAGAGAGCATGGGTTTTTAATGCCACGACAAAAAAAAAAAAAAAAAAAAAAAAAGCCAAGAAACGAAAGCTTTGGTTTTAATCTCCCCTGACCTGGATGGTGCGCCGTTCGCCGGACACGGGCGCAAGAACAGCTGGTCGCCTTGCCAGCAGACAGGGGGCGGTAGGTCTGAGGGTCATTGAGCTCACTCCGGGGTGAGCAAGGGGAAATTATATGCTGAGTCTGTATTTTTGGGGTAGTTAACTATCGAGCAGCCGGCCTTGCAACTTTCTGGGATGGGGGTGGAGGAGGAGGAGGAGGGGGGGGGGGGTGAGAG